TTTCATCTTTCTGGGCCTCGATTTAATCATGTGCAAAATGGGGGTGAATATTAACTGCTACTATTTAACAATACTGAGCACTTAGTCTGTGCCAGGAACCATAGAAATTCCTTTAATTCGATGCCCATTTTACAAAGAAACCGAGGTCAGAGAGATTAAGTAATTTTCCCAAAGTTACAGTTAGTACGTGGTAGAGTCAAGATATGAGCCAGGTCCCAAACTGAGGTATTAGAGGTTGTGGTGAGAATTAAATGAGACAATTTATAAAGGTCCTCATTCACAATGAGAGTCCAGAAGGTGGGAGTTTGGTCCTAGGCTCCCACCCTGGAGTGGAAGCACTGGGATCACACCAGTACACTCTAGGCTGTGTTGAAGGAAGCCAGTGGTTTGGGGAGCCCAGAAGCAGCCCTGAGGAGACTGGTTGGAAGACAAAGGTGACTTTCAGCAGGAGCCTCCTAAGGCAGAGAGCACTGGCATGTGCAAAGGCTCATAGGGGAGAATACGCCAGTGAGTCCTGAGGATGCTGGCTGAGCAGGGCAGTAGTAGGGATCCTCAACTCTTGTCCCTGGGGCCTCCGTTTCCCATCCAAAGCAAAGGACAGCTGTCCCTGCACCACTCTGAAGCACCATCACTTGGACTCTGCTGCCCCACTGTGGGCACGGGAGAACTGCTCCAGTGAGCGCCCTGAAACCTAACTGGAGGACCCTAGTCCCCACAATGGCCAATAATAGCCCAAAGAGCCAACCGTTGAATTTTAAGAATTTTTGCAAGTCAGTTGTTAAAGCCATTATTAAAAATTAAATTACATAAAATTAAAACTAAATTATATTAAAAGCAAAGGTAATGTTCAAAACTAGGCATTTCTTATTTCACTGTATTTTGCTATTATTTGTCCTTTTTTTTTTTTTAAATCTTCACCCAAGGATATATTTTTATTGACTTTAGGGGGGGATAGAGAGAGAAACATTGATGTGAGACACATTGATCAGTTGCCTTCCGTAGGAGCCCCGACCGGGGATTGAACCCACAACCTAGGTATGTGCCCTGACTGGGAATCAAACCCGCAGCCTTTTGGTGTACGGGACGATGCTCCAACCAACGGAGGCACCCGCCTGGGCTTGTCTGTGCTCTTTACATCTATTGTATCTGTGCGGTGGAAACACTATATAAAAGGTGTGCTTTTGCATCTCTCTTCACCACTCCATGTTCAGTTACACTGCCTTAGTAGCCTGAAATCAGCCATGATGGGAGCATTTACACCATGGAAACTGGCAAATAACACAAGTCAGGCTTGATTTATTGCTGATTTTCTAGACCAGTGTCATCCAATAGGGATATAATGCAAGCCACACATGTAATTTTTATTCTTGGGTAGCCAGATTTAAAACAGGAACAGGAGAAGTTAATTTAAATAGCATACATTTTTTTCATACTAACTCTTCAAATCCTGGTATTTATTTGACACTTAAAGCACATCTCAGTTCAAACTAGCCACACCTGAAGTGTTTAACAGCTAAATTGTCCAATGGCTGCCATATTGGAGAACACAAGTCTAGACTTAAGAAACAGTTGGAGGCTCATCCTGTACACCAAAAGGTGGCAAGTTTGATTTCTGATCAGGGAACATACCCAAGTTGTGGGTTGAATACCTAGGTGGGGTGTGCGGGAGGCAGTGGATTGATGTTTCTCACATCAGTGTTTCTCTCTCTCCCCCCTCTCTAAAATCAATAAAAATTTTTTAAAAGATTGAGAAAATATTAACGATGTAGATTAAATTTAAAAGTAGTGCTGAGGCTGAGAAATTTCAAGCCAATTTACAGTTTGTTCAACAATGAGAAATCAGTACGTTGTATAGCAGATTTAATGACAACAAATTAACTGCTGCCTTGGCCGGTGTGGCTCAGTTGGTTGGAGCATCGTCTCGTATACCTAAAGGTCGCAGGTTCGATTCCCAGTCAGGGCACATACCTAGGTTGCAGGTTTGATCTCTAGTCAGGGCATGTGCTGGAGGCAACCAATTAATGTTTCACTCTCACACTGACGTTTCTCTCTCCCTCAATAAAATCAATAAAAGCATGTTGTCGGGTGAAGATCAAAAAAAAAAAAAAAATCTGCTGGTAAAAGAGCAGTGTAGTAGGCTTACCAGTGGCCCCAAAAGATATCAGGTCCTAATCTCTGGAACTTATAATTTTTTTTTTACATTTTAGGTTTTTTTTACCTTGCAGGTATGATTAAAGATCTTTACATTTTTTATTATCCAGCTGGGCCCTAAATCCAGTCACGCAAGTGTCTTAAGGAGAGGGAGGCAAAGGGAGGTTTGATAAACACAGAAGGCCATGTGGCCACAAGTCCAGGAATGTCAGTAGCCACCAGGAGCTGTTCAGAGGTAAGGACTAGAGCCTCCAAGAGAAGCATGGCTCTGCCAACACTGTGATTTCACCTCAATAGTAGTGATTTTGGATTTCTGACCACCAGAACTATGAGAAAATAAATTTCTGTTGTTTGTGGTAATTTGTTAGAGGCCATAGGAAACTAATACAAGCAGATGGGATGCAACTCGAGTTGCCATATCGTGGTTAAATTAGGACCACAGGTAGGCTAGGAATACAAGAACTTGGGGTGGGGGGAAATCAACAACATTCTGTGAGAAACAACTGGCTATACAGAATTTATAATAAAGAGTATTGTATATTTTATTTGTACTTTATGTGCTGTACATCTTTTATATCAGTACAATTTATAATAACGTGTGTATATGACATATACCAGGTCTGTCTTGTATCCTCAGCACCCAGCACAGAGCTTGGCACACATACACACTCAAATATTTTTTTAATTAACAAACGACTTTGGACCTCAGTTTTCCCCACCACACAATAGGGTTGGAGGAATGGGATGGGCTCCCCAGGTGGGCAGTACTGGTGCCAGATGTTGTTAGAGCACCTACTGTGTGCAAGACTGGGCTGGGGACAGAGACTGTGTCCCAAACAGCTGGTGTCCCAGGAGGTAGCTGGAACAGTCAGATTCAGGGAGTCAGATATGGGATCTCCCATTTCCTTAAGGCCTCTGCAGGCTTGGGGACTGCTCAAAGGATTATCACAGTCCAAGAGATGGGGTGCCAAGAAGCCACCGTACAGGTGCAGAGACCGAAGCCAAGGACACAGCAGGACCTGCTAGGGCTGGACCCCCTTTCTCTAGCTTCTGTCCCTCAATCCTGCAGGGCAGAGGACCTCTTTCACCCAAGGACTAGGAAAAACCAGGGCCTGGCTTTGTCACAGCTACAGAAGAGTGGCCCTCTCAGTTCCTCAGCTTTCCATGTAAGCCCCCATCCCATACTCCCAGTCAGGGGCCCAGGCAAAGAGTGGGGGGTACCCACCTTTACCATGTACAGCCTGGATGATCTTTGGCAAGTCACTTTCCCTCAGCTCCAATGTCTCCTCCCTGGGGCACCCAGCGCCCAGTCTGCAGCCCAGTGGCTGACCCCTGCAGGCCCAACTGGCCAGATCTGTCACAAATTTGCAGGACTGAGCCCTGGCTGGACACTTGTTCCATCTAGATTCTCCTGTTAAATGGGCAGGTAAGTGGCTTGCCAGGTTTCCACAGCAAGAATTTGGCCAAGCAGACTGGCTCTGGGCACTGGAAGCAAATGAGGGAATCTCTAGGCCAAAGCCCTTGACCAGAACCTGGGAGCTGGGTCTGAGATCTGGAGGTACTAAAACCCTCTGGGCCCCATTCCCACTCTGTCCCAAAATGTCTGCCTCATGCCTGTGTCCATAAGACACCACTCTATTGTATGCATTTTGAAAGCAAGGACCAGGATAGTTTGTTCACTATTGGGCCCACAGTGTGGGATTGGCCAAAATATAAGAACTCAAGAATTTAATGAGCAAAACCACTCGCATATCTTCTACAAAGACCAGGTTCTCCCCTCTGCCTTTGCTCATGCTGTCCCTCTTTCACTAGCACCAGGCCTCTCTGATCATCCCTAGGAAAAGGGGCTTCCAGAACTCAGCAAGGTATGATCCTGGATCCTGTGGGCCCATAGCACCCTGGGCACCTGGACACATGGCTTATGGAATCCATCCTCCTGGGAGTGGGAGAAAAAGCAGAAGGCAAGTCCACCTTCAGCTCTCAGCCCTATGTCCGCGACTGGTCGTCTCCTCTGGAACCCTGGTGTGCAATAAACTCTGCCCACCACCAACCCCATTCAGAGTTTAAAGAGAAAATAAAGGGATTAAGGAAGCACCAAAAGCAAGCCCTCTTTTATGACAGCATCAGACAACTGTTTCAAAATATATTAGATTTGGTTTTTATTGTAAAGCACACGTATCAGGGCAAAGTGCTGCACACACAACTACAAATCATTTTGGGGAAGAAAAAAGCTGTAAAAAAAAAAAAAAAAAAAAAAAGGCAA